ACACACACATACATATATATATACACACATACATATATATATATACACATATATATACACACACACATATATTTTATTGTTGTTGTTGTTAAGTAGACCTGGTAGAGGATGAAGATTTCTGTCTTTTCATGTGTACAGCTTTGCTCAACATTTTTCAAATAGTTTCCTTTTATAACAAAAATGAATCCATAATTTTGGGGTCTGTGTGTTTATCTACGATACCTACAGATGTGAAAGTACCAAGGTCCAATAATGATTTAAACACAGAGTACAACTGAGTTAGGAAAGGAAAACTAGCAATAAATGTACCAATCCATACACTAAAAATTAAGTCTCGTTTTGAAAGACAAAGGTAAAGGGGGAAAAACTTTATAGTTGGTTAAAAATCTCAATAGTTACTTATCAGGATATATTTGCTATTCAACATATCTACCTAAAAGAATCTCCCAATCAATAGCAACCTCACTTTCATAATCACATCTTAAGGAAGCCCATTGATATTGTTTTAAAAATAAAAACAGATAACTGTATCAATACTATATTCTGAGAGACTTCTGCATCAAAAAGTATTTCGAAAGGGATATTAGTAGAGCCTAAAGTTGAGAATTCTATCTTCAATCACCTAAGAAACTCATTCATCCAACCCTCAATTACTCATCCTTAAACTGGGGAGCCCTGCTATGCTTTACTGAAAACCAAGCGTGCCTTAAAACATCTTAAATGTAACTGAAAGAAAATCTGCCCAATCACATGCCAGCTGCTTGCAAACTCCACCCTAGAGTACAGGAAGAACACTTTTGATTGGAGGATAGTTGTGTTTACTACAGTGTGTGGTACAAATTGGAAAGGTCCACATGCCCAGACTCCAAAGGAAATCTCTTCAATGAAACAAGAAAATAAAACAGTAAGGTCTAGTTCTAGTCATTGTCACTAATAGAACTTCAGAACATAAAAAATCTTAATTCTGCAAGCCAGTTAAGAAAATCTAAAGAAACTTTGAGTTTTGTTGTATCTCTTTTCTTATCTATGTTTCTAGAGAAACATACAAGTATAAATTCATTCTCAAAGCCCAAACTTGCTTTTGCTTCTATATTCAGATAGCATCATGCCAAACCTCAACACAGGTTTAAGAACTTTAATAATCACTGCAACTTTTTACTTGGTTTGAGAACCCCTTTCCATGGGCTCAATAATATCATTCAGAATTTAGACGATGTTCAGCTTCTCAGTGAGTTTCAAAAATCTGTACCCTTATGGAGCCCAGAAAACAACAAAATGAAATGGTAGCCATTTCAGGTGCAAAACCCATTAGCAATTCATACAAAGGAGGAAAGAGCCAGTGAAGGAACTAGAAAACAAAGCCTCAACCAAAAAGGTAGTAAGGCAGACTATACCTCAGGACAATATATAAATATATACACACATAAATATATCAAATATGCATTGTTTCCAAGGGTGAATTAGTGTATCTGAGGTCACCTCCCTCCCCCATCCTAGCTTTCTAAAACAAGCACAGAGGCATTTAGATTCAAATCCTTGTCTTGATAATCATTATCCTTATCCTGTAATATTCATGGGTGGTTTAAGAAAAATTACAATTTTGCCCTACTAAAACCTCCTGAATGTTCTAGCAGCCTTTCTTATACAGCATGGGAGAGTATCAAAGCAGCAAAAGGCAAGCCTAAGCCAGCCACAAGTCTACCCATAAAGGAAAAAAAAGGCAGTCTAACACTGTTGATGAAAAGGAAGAAAAATGAACATCTACTTCAGATCTCACAAAATACGTTACTATTTAGTGAATAAAATGTCTGCAGTAACAAGTTCTTCAAGAATATTTAGGTTCTGCGTGCTGATCTACCTTAAATTTCAAAAGACTCTCCCACTCCATTTTTTTCATAGCCTTGCCTCACTAGAATGAGGAACTAAAGAGGCTTGCCCAAACTCAGCTATTTTACCACCACGTTAACAAAATTACATTATACGACCGAGTGCTGGTGAAGTTAAATCACCGAACTACTTTAATCACAAAACACACCCCTGCAAGCGTGCAAAAGCGACCCAGCTTCCAACACAAAAGTTTCAAAACAAAACCTGTCCCCAAGGTTGAGGGAGTAGCCCAGCTGGGACCAAAAGAGCACCCCCCCCCCTAACCAGCAGCCACCTCACAGCCCCTGAGAAAGATCTCCAACTTATCAACAAGCCCTAAACTGCAGCTTCCTGTCACCCACAAGGGCAGAGAAAGGAGCTCGAAAACAGCCCAGAGCGAGAGCCGGCCAAGCCCAGCTCAGACGAGGAAGTAACTGCCAGATTTAAAAAAAAAAAAAAAATCCCCGAGCGCTCCCACTGCAGCCTCGGTGCCTCCCACCACTGCCCACATTGCCTCTCCACTCCGGGCTCCGGGAGGAAATGAACAGGGCGCGGGGCTCGGGGCAAACCTGGGGATTACAGGTCTGCGTCTTCTAGGGGGCAGTGGCAGCGCCGGCAGAATTCGGCCAGGCCCGGGCACCTCGGGTTCGAGAGCTTGTTCCGAAGGCGTGTTGGGAGGAGGAAGGGGGAGACGCAGAGCAAAGGGGCGCCCAGGAGGCGGGGCCAACCGGCTAGAAGCAGCAGCTCCTGGCACCCTGGCCGCCCCCCAGGAGAAACTGGGGCGCGCACCCCGACGCGGAAGCCATGCCGGCCACAGCTCAGGTGCCGGGGTGCTGAAGTGCCGGCGGGGGGCGCTAAGGAGATCCGGGGGCGCGGAACTGGGTCACCCCCACCACACCGCCCCCTCACAAAGGCCCCCGGGGAGGCGGCCCACAGGCCCTGCAGCACCGGACTCAAGTGCCCGCCTCAGCCGCCACTCACCGCTAGGTCCTGGGGCACCGCCCCGCTCATGGCCCGCACCGTGCCGGCCCGCCAGGCCCGAGTGCGCAGCGCAGGCCCTGGATCTCCTCCACACGCCACCGCTGCCGCCACGGGGGCCGAAGCCGAGGCCGTGGTGTCCGCGAACAGAAGCAGCAGACGCTTGCCCACCGGGGAGGCCGTCGCGTCCGCCATCGCCAGGGTCAGCCAGACCCGCGTTCCCGCCCGCCTCCTCCCACCACCTCCGCCGCCGCCGAGCGCCCGATCCGCCCGCAAGGCCTCCCTCCGCACCACCCGCGG